GGAATAGATGCTGGTTATACAATTTCACTTACACTGAAGTGTATCAAGGGTTTTGCTCAGATGTTTGGCAGAGGTCATCTACACTGCCGCACAAGAGATCCACACTCAATTCCTTAGGTCATCAAGGACTAGGGGAGACTCTTGAGGGACTTAATAAGCCTTCCAGATAATTACAGAGTAGCAAGCTTCATCTAGTCATTTTAGGCTGAATGGATTGTGGGCCTTGAGGATGGTTTGGAGTGGGGTGAAATTTAGGTCCCGATCCAGTAAAGCACTTAAGCACCTGTGTTCCTTTAAGTACAAGAGGTCCCATTGGCTTGGGTCTTGAAGTCCATGGGACAATTCACATTCTTAATTGCTTTTCAGGATTAGGACCTCAAATAGGAAGAACAATTGTTGAGTGGGATTCTGCTGATCAGCTTTGCAACTGTGTAGGTATATTATAAGCTTAACTGTAAAGCAGAATTTTCTTTATTGGCTGTGAATTTCCTCCTAGTTGATTCAGTGTTAAAATATGATATGCAGCTAGTGCTCCTTAAACCAAAGGACTTCATCATAAAGTATGTCACTCATTTTAGAGTGACAATTATGTCCATCACATTGTATATCTTATTGCTTGGCATTTTATAACTGTAACTTATTAGTGTGAATCTCAATTTTTAAATAAAGATTACGGAAAGCTTTACAAAGGGTAAAGAAAAAAAAACTTGTCTCAAAACCTCCTGTAGTGTTAGTGTTCTCTGTAACAAGTAGCTTGGAAGGTTTCTTTATTAATATGACTCTTCTCTGTAACATAAAGAAAAGGAGTACTTGTGGCACCTTAGAGACTAACCAATTTATTTGAGCATAAAGCAGTGCACAGGCTTGGGGAAGTCAGGGGTAATGGAGGAGCTGAGGGAGAGTGAAGGAGCTCAGGAGTGAATCTGGAGGGTTGTTAGGTGTGGCTGGGAGAAATATGGCACTTTTTCTTTGGAGGGCAGGGCAGGGGTTGTTAAGGAGTTGGGGAGCCTCTCCCATGCAGACCCTGGCTGACCCCGAGCCTCTCCCATTCAATCAGGCACATCTGCCCCTGTCCCCATGTATCCTTGCACTCCCCTGTCCCCATGTGGCCCAGAGCCCCTGGCTCAATGCTGTCACCTCACTAGCTACTGGGCCCACAGGTGACAGCATTGAGCCAGGGGCTCTGGGCCACATGGGGACAGGGGAGTGCAAGGATACATGGGGACAGGGGCAGATGTGCCTGATTGAATGGGAGAGGCTCGGGGTCAGCCAGGGTCTGCATGGGAGAGGCTCCCCAACTCCTTAACAACCCCTGCCCTGCCCTCCAAAGAAAAAGTGCCATATTTCTGCCAGCCACACCTAACAACCCTCCAGATTCACTCCTGAGCTCCTTCACTCTCCCTCAGCTCCTCCATTACCCCTGACTTCCCCAAGCCTGTGCACTGCTTTATGCTCAAATAAATTGGTTAGTCTCTAAGGTGCCACAAGTACTCCTTTTCTTTTTGCGAATACAGACTAACACGGCTGTTACTCTGAAACTCTGTAACATAGTTTTGTTATCTCCTCAGAGCCAGTGTACGTCTCTGAATTCTCCATTTTGCCTGCTTTCATTATTTATTGTTGTTTGTCACTTTACAAACAAAAGGACATGTTCCTGCCTGAAGTAGCTTAGTAATGTCTTTAAGCTATAGACTCCTTTATACCTTTACTTGTAAACAGCATTCCTAGTTAACAAAAACAGATTAGTTTGCAAATACTGAATTGCCCTACTGAAGCCTATCCCACCTAGTAATCCATCTCTGTCAGTGGTCAATACCACATGCTTCAGAGGAAGGTGCAAAAAGTCACCATAGTAGAGAGTTATGTACATTGAAGTATGAAGTTTTGTATCCCTTCCATACTTTTTTGGCAAGCTTTCTTTTTTTAATCCTTATTACAACTGGCTTTAACTAGATACTGTCATTTTCTGTATAAATGCCCAGTCTGTTTTTACTCTTGTTTCGCTCTTGGCTTTAATGTTATCTTGTGGCAATGAGTTGCACATGCCAATTGTGTGTTGTGTAAAACATTATTTCCTTTTATCTGTTTTAAATTTGCTGCCTTCAATTTCATTGAATGTACGCTTCCTTGTTCTGGCATTATGAGAAAAGGTAAATAGGAGTGCCTGATCTATTTTCTCTATACTATTCAATATTTTGTATACTTTAATCACTTTCCCTCTTACTCATCTCCTCTCTGCACTATATAGTCTTCTAATCTTGTTCTTAGACTAGTTCTGCTTTATCCTTTTGGAGATTAAATTGAATTGAAGAGTTTCTGAACATGAGAAACCAAAACAATATGAGATAAAAGCACAACTTTAGATTCCTACTAACCACATACAAAAGAGAAATTCTTTTTATTATTCCAGCACTTACACATAGCTTCTTGGGCATGTCTACACTTGCCATTTAAAGCAGAAAAAGTCCCTTTTGTGTGCAAAAACCATGGAAGTGTCTACACTTGCTAATGTCTTTTTGCAGTGAAACTCAGAAGTTTCACCGCAAAAAGAAAACCACCTCCATGAGAGGCATATAGCTCTTACCAGTGATGCTTTTGCAGTGATGTGCAAATGAAGACACATTCTTCCTGTTTACACAGCTTTTAGCCTCTGGAGGGTATCCCACAATGCCTAGGTGACCACTCTGGCCAGCAGCTCTGCTGCCAGGTAAATAGACATCCACCCCTCCCCCTGTAAAGCCCCGGGAACTTTGAAACTCCCCTTCCTGTTTTCTTGGCAAGCGCTCACTTATCTGGCCAGGTGACAATGCCTGCTCCACAGAGCAAACGATCCGCTGCTTGGAGCAATGCTGAGCTACTGGAGGTGATCAGTGTTTGGGGAGAGGCAGCTGTGCAGGGACCCAGGATGCCCCACGATCACACTCACACACACACACACACACCCTTCCCACAAGGTCCATTGTCAAACCGGAGAGAACGACACTGTTGGATAGCTGTCCTAGAGCGCTGCTCTCATCTGCAATGGAAGTGCTCCTAATGTAAACACTCTCTGACGCCTCAGGAATTAAGCGCTTTACTTTCACCGGTTCCCCGGTGACACTTACAGCGCAAAAACCTCATAAATCAGCACTTTACTTTCACCGGTTCTCTATCACTGGTGAAATGTACAGTGCAAAAACTCTGCTAATGTAGACATACCCCTTGTGTACTTAGAGATCTGGCCCTTCCCACAGTTACCCAGTCTTCCAACAGGTCTTCTCAACGGTGCTTTCACTCCTTTCTCCTTCTTTAAACTTACAAGATGAGGCCATAGCCAATCTAACTAAACTCTTACAGTTTATCCGTCTCATTAATCGGTCTCCTCATTCTAGAATACCACTACCCAAAATTATAAAGGAATGCTAGGGAGGAGTTGCCATGCTGACTCCAAGTATCATTTCTAGAAGCTCTTAAGGCTTAGACACAAAACCCTCATTACTTCTGTCAAAGTTCCTTCCCCACTCTGAACTCTAGGGTACAGATGTGGGGACCTGCATGAAAGACCCCCTAAGCTTATTTTTACCAGCTTAGGTTAAACGCTGCCACCACCAAAGTGTTACACAAAGAACAGAGAAGTGCCCACTTGGAAATGTCTCCCCCCAAAGCACTACACCCCCTTTCCTGGGGAAGGCTTGATAAAAATCCTCACCAATTTGCATAGGTGAACACAGACCCAAACCCTTGGATCTTAAGAACAATGAAAAACAATCAGGTTCTTAAAAGAAGAATTTTAATTAAAGAAAAAGTAAAAGAATCACCTCTGTAAAATCAGGATGGTAAATACCTTACAGGGTAATCAGATTCAAAACATAGAGAATCCCTCTAGGCTTACAAAAAGATACAAAAACAGGAATATACATTCCATTCAGCACAACTTATTTTATCAGCCATTTAAACAAAACAGAATCTAATGCATATCTACCTAGATTGCTTACTGACTTTTTACAGGAGTTCTGACCTGCATTTCTGCTCTGGTCCTGGCAAAAGCATCACACAGACAGAGAGAACCCTTTGTTCCCACCCACCCCCCAGTTTTGAAAGTATCTTGTTTCCTCATCGGTCATCTTGGTCAGGTGCCAGCAAGGCTATCAGCTTCTTAACCCTTTACAGGTGAAAGGGTTTTTCCTCTGGCCAGGAGGGATTTAAAGGTGTTTACCCTTCCCTTTATATTTATGACAACTTCACATGTCCCTTGCTACTCTGTTTTTGGTGTCCCTAAGGCAATTCTCATATTTATGCCTCTCACAGGTTGAGTATGACAGGGCTAAAGACACTTGGCTAGCCATGCAGCTCTGTTAGCGCACCTAAAGCCCTAACCTGCCTGTGAACATCCCTAGTATATACAACACTTCTCTTGAGACAATATAAGAGGCAGAATGGTAGGATGTGTGTTCTCACAGGGACCCGAGGAGAAGGTTCTGAAATATTCTAAAGGCAACTGAAATCAGCTCTAGAGACAGAGAAACATGCATCAAGCTGGAAGCCATTAAACCAGTCATGGTATAAGGTGCCCGAAGCTCTAAGGAAACAGTTTAGTCATGCAACAATTGCCATCCTGACACTTACTAGCTAGAGACGGTAAAGAAGGAAACAGGAGAAAAGTCATGAGGGTACAAGCAAAGAAATATCCCAGAGAGACTGAGAAGATTCTGTCATGTCCCTTTTAGGGCCACTGCTTTTAGGATTATAGCTTTATTAACAAGAGGATGACAAAAGTCAGACAACTTGCTACCAGTTGAATAGTAACACAGTTCATTCACATCTTCCTGCCTAGGCCCTAACAGTTTAATCTTTTATTGGGTAGTTCACAGTCATGAGCCTCTGAACTCCCAGTGATCTTTTGACCTTTCTGAACGACATAAATAAGTCCCAGTGTCTGCATTTCTGCTCCAGTAAAACCTAGTAGCTTTTGACAGTTGTCCACTGTATAAACATAAAAAGAAAAGGAGTACTTGTGGCACCTTAGAGACTAACAAATTTATTTGAGCGTAAGCTTTCGTGAGCTACAGCTCACTTCATTGGATGCCGATGAAGTGAGCTGTAGCTCACAAAAGCTTACGCTCAAATAAATTTGTTAGTCTCTAAGGTGCCACAAGTACTCCTTTTTGCAAATACAGACTAACACGGCTGCTACTCTGAAACCTGTATAAACATATTGCCTCTAAGACCAGAAAAAGGAATAGGTGTGAAGAGAAAAAACAGTAAGTAGTATTTAAATATCAGGGGTTAACTTTAACCATGAGTTTGTAATATTGTTCTCATTACTTCCAGTCAGGTGGTGGTTTTTGTGCTGTGGACAAATGGGAACAAGGATGAAACCAAAGTTCTCTTTCCTTTTTCTTCATATTTACAGACCAAGCAAACTAACTCTGGACTGTTAGTGTTCCTTAAACTAAAGGGACACCATTTATCCATTATACAATGAGTTGATTTCTTTTTGTTTGCTGTTGAATTGAATAACCTCATAGCACTAGATATAGGGATACATATTATTAGAAGAAGAACAAATTAATGTAGACATAGTAAACCAAAACAAGGTATGCATCAATGTCCCTCTTTTATGTGCCTCTGTTCAGAATGACCAGTTGATGGAACACAAATTCAGTACTTCTGAGTGCAGTCTCTTCATCCCCTATCAGTTTATTTGTTTTTTCAGGGGTAAAATACCAGCTGTGCACTTTGGGTATGATGTCAGAACATAGCTGCATGCAATTGATATCCCCAACGGTCTCTGAAATAACAAGAGAAAGACTTCTCAGCTTGGACCAATGTTTATTCCTGAGCAGGAAAATTTACAAGCCTTATAGTTCCTCTCTGCTGTATTGTGCAGATAAGAGGAAATGCATATAAATATTGGCCATATATGACTGGGGAACACTGGCAGTGCAGCATGCTCTGGGAAACTCCCCCACATAAACAGTATACAGTTCACAGCCAAACAGAGTTTGTGGTCATGTCAACTGGAAGAGATGTATGCCATGCTCTTCTCAGATGACACAATTTCCAGTCTCTAAGGAAGTTAAATGCTGGTTCTTGCAGTATTACTTTTAGCTGTTCAGTTTCTATCTGCTTTTGGGCGGGGGGTTGGGGGGAATACAAGTTCAGACTGGAGACCAATGGCAGACGTGTTGCTATGAGAAAGGTTGCCCAGAACAGCATGTGGAGGGGCAGATGCTGCACATGTGTGTGCCAAGAGCCCTGGAGTGAATGCTGAGATTCCTCATGGATCTTCAGATTCCATGCTAGTAGGTGATCATATCTTCTCTCTGTCCCGACTAATACTTCCAAGGAGGTAACACAGCACAGCTAAAGGAGTTCTTTCCCCTTTCCATAGGAAGGAGATAATTTGGCCATACAAGTAGACTTTTTTTATAAACTTCTTTAGACTTGAAGTCTGATTAATTTAATAATTGGCTTATACAGATGTGTCTGTTCATATGCCAAAGACAGAAATAAATACATTATTTACAGTGACAAAAATTAATCATTTATAATTTTTCCCCATTCAGTGACAAAAATGCTCACATCACAGTTATTGGGTCTCATAAAAAGGATGGGATTAATTTGTGTACTTAAAGTGTACTGCTTCAGCTGTTGGGATTTGAGGAGAGGTCGGAAAACATTTCAGGATGCTGGGTTTGGGCCTAATGAACTCAATGGAAACTTGGAACTGAGTGAGGACAGGAGGATCAGATTCAATCTGCAGCTGTGGGGGTCTTAATCAGAACCTATTTTGTGTTTCCATTCTTTGTTCCTCTCTAATAGCACTTTGGCACAGACAGAAGAGGATTTCCTACAATGTTTAGTTACCTTGGTGTCTTTTGTAGTGTCTGAAAACATTTGTTGCCCAAGCCCCATATCCAAAACACTGTTTAGGATTTTTCAGAAATGCCTGACCCTTGCACCCTGGAAAGTATTTAGCACTCCTCAGGAAATCTTCCGCACTCTGCAGATAGAAGCAGACAGAGATTGCTGTTGTCTTCGTCCAGTCTGGTTTGAGAATATCACCTGATAAGCTTTTGATAGATGGTTGAATTAATTCTATCTACTTCAAACTGAAATGCATCTCTAAGGGTACTTTCAACTGTTTTAACATTGTACAGAAAATCCCATGAAATCCCATGAGCGACTGAGGGTCTAAATGACTTATTCAAGGTCACACAGCAAGTCAGTTGCAAAATGAAAAATAAGGCTGACGCCTAGACCTTGCTCTTACCACTAGAGGTAAAATTATTTAATTTTAAAAAGTTATGCACCATACATTTGACTATGGACAAAACATGGAAAAAGCTCATTGACTGAGTTTGAGTTCTGACAATATATTTACACCGTACATGCAGCCTATCAGAAAAGTGTAGTTTGGAATCTTGAGTGATGATCCATCCTGGTAAATAGAGGGAAATGTTCCTCTACTCTAACAACAATAATGCCAATTTGTGTGTAACCAAGTTAATTGTTCTGTGTTGTAGAGACAGGAAAAAAACTCAGATGAGTATTGCCAGGGAAGGACAATAATGTGTATTCATTCAGTTTAGAATAGAGAAAAAGAGGCCTTTTTTACTTTTATTGCTCCCTTAATATATGGAACTGACCTAGTGTTGCCAGCAGTCATCTTTTTCCTTGCTTAGTTGTCACAGTGATTTCCATTGTTAACCAAAATCCTTAAATAAAATCAAACTGCTTTGCAAGGGAAAATGGTGACTTAGAAATTAATTAGATGTTTGCCGTTCTCTATATTTAGATCTCAGTTAGAATAGTTTATTTCTGCTAACAATCTAAGTTTTGCTGAATTTGAATGGCTAATCTTATGAAACCTATCAGTCCATGGTAAAACTCCCACTCACTTCACTGGGAGCACAGTTAGGCCACTTCTGAGTCCTTTTGAAAACCCCACCTTACCTGCACAAACTGCAGGCACTTTATAGGACAGTACTTGAGGGCTGGTCAAGGGATGGTAGTGTAATGAGAATGTCAGCAAAACTTTCTATTCCAAACACTTAATGGTACATGACCAAAACAAGTGCCCCAGTTCCATTTCTAGCCCAAAGAAGCCATAGCCAGAATTACATCTCCAGTGGATAATTTTTCCCTTTTTAAATTTAACTTAATAAAAACTAAGTTAAATATGTTTCTGAAATATTATATTTTAAGTATATTCCTCCAGCTTGGATAAACTCCACCATTCATACAAAATTTAAGGTATGGCAGTAACCTCAGCAAACTGAATAATCCAAGATGCTTTACCATGTGTGCTATGGTCTGTAGGCACAATTGCATGTGTTAAAGAAATAAAAACCAGATCCTACAACTCTTATGTAAGTAGTCCTTACTTAAGCTGTTGACTTAAAAAGGACTGTTTATGCAATTGCAGTTGAAGGTATCCTCTCTCACTGAAGATACCCCTCCTGGAGAGGGAACCACAGGTACTAGGAAGAACCAGATGACAGTAGAGCAGGATTGGATAGCGGAGTTTGTGGTGACTGGGAGAGCTACATGGTAAATTGCCTCACATATGCAAAGGTGGCGGATCTCAGGAGACATCTAGACAGACTTATATGTTCTGCTGGAGAGGATTCGGTGTTCCTGGTAAATGTAGGTACCAGTGACATAGGGAAAGGTTGGAGAGAGACGCTGGAGGCCAAATTTAGCCTCCTAGGTAAGAGATTAAAGTCAAGTACCTCAATGGTAGCATTCTCTGAAATGCTTCCAATTTCACATGCAGGACCAGAAAGACATGCAGAACTCCAGGATCTATATGTGTGATGAGACAATGATGTAGGGAGGAGGGGTTTAGGTTTGTTAGAAACTGGGGAATCTTTTGGGAAAAGAGGCACCAATATAGGAAGGATGGTTCTACCTATACCAAAATGGTACCAGTCAAAATGGAACCAGACTGCTGGCATGTAAAATTTAAAAAGTTGTAGAGGATTTTTAAACTAAGAGCTGGGGAAAAGCAGACAGGTACGGGGGAGAATACGGTTCAGACAGAAACATCCCTCAAGGATGCATTTATTAAAGAAGAAAGTCTATATCCTAGTAAAGAGGATAGGAAAGAAGTTGGTAAAGTACAGGTATGAGCTAGTGAGGAACCATCAAACTTGAAAGAGTCCCATTTAAATATAAACACAAAGGCAAGCAAGTGAATATTGATGAAATGTACAAGTGCTTGTATACAAATGCTAGAAGTCTAAATACTAAGATGGGTGAATTGGAGTGCCTGGACTTAAATGAGGCTGTTGATATAATAGGCATGATGGAAATTTGGTGGAATGAGCATTATCAATGGGACATGGTAACTCGAGGGTACAAAATACGCAGGAAGGACAGAGTAGGTTGCACTGGTGAGGGAGTGGCACTACATATGAAATGAAAGCACAGCATCAAATAAAGTAAAAATCTTAACTGAATCAAACTGTACTATAGAATCTCTATGGATAGAAATTCCATGCTTGAACAATACGAGCATAGCAGTAGGAGTACACTACCAACCACCTGACCAGGATGGTGATAGTGATTGTGAAATACTCAGGGAGATTAGAAAAGCTGCAAAGGCAGAAAACACAATAGTAACAGGGGATTTCAGCTATGCTCATATTGACTTGGTATATCATCACCTCAGGAAGGGATGCAGAGAGAGAATTTCTAGACACCATGAATGCCTGCTTTTTGGAGCACAGCTTGTCCTGGAACCCACAAAGAGAAACACAATTCTTGATTTAGTCCTAAGTGGAGCACAGAATCTCGTCCAAGAGGTGAATATAGCAGAACTGCTTGGTAATAGCAACCATAATTAATTAAATTTAACATCCTTGTAGGGGGGGAAAATGCCAAAGAAACCCACTAGAGCAGCACTTATCTACAAGGGGGACTACACAAAAATGAGGAAGATAATTAAACGGATATTAAATGGAACAGTCACAAGAGCGACATGCCTGCAAACTGCATGGAAACACCATAGTAAACATATAAACACCATAATAGAATCATAGAATATCAGGGTTGGAAGGGACCTCAGGAGGTCATCTAGTCCAACCCCCTGCTCAAAGCAGGACCAATCCCCAATTAAATCATCCCAGCCAGGGCTTTGTCGGGTGTTTTTTTTAATTTGGGGTTTACATTTAGTTTGAGCCACCTAGAGGCTCAAACTAAATGTAAACCCCAAATTAAAAAAAACAGGACCAAAAAAATGCCACCATGGCTAAACAGCAGAGTAAAACAGGCAGTTAGAGGCAAAAAGGCATCCTTTAAAAATTGAAAGTCAGATCCTAGTGAGCAAAATAGAAAGGAGCATAAACTCTGGGAAGTCAAAGTATAATAAGGCAGGCCAAGAAAGAATTTGAAGAGCTAAGGACACATACTAGCAGGAAAAATATTTTTAAGTACATCAGAAGCAGGAAATCTGCTAAACAATCAGTGGGGCCACTGGACAATCAAGGTGCTAAATGAGCACTCAAGGAGGACAAGACAGGTGCAGAGAGTCGAAATGAGTTCTTTACATTGGTTTTCACTGCAAAGGATAGGGGGAAGATCTCCATACCTGAACCATTTTTTTTAGGTGACATATGTGAGGAACTGTCCCAGATTGAGGTGCAATAGAGACAGTTTTGGAACAAGTTGATAAATTAAACAGTAATAAGTCACCAGGACCAGGTGGTATTCACCCAAGAGTTCTGAAGGAACTCAGGTATAAAATTGCAGAACTAGTAACTGTGTTATGTAACCTATTGGTTAAATCAGCCTCTGTACCAGGTGAATGGAGGATAGCTAATGTAACACCACATTTTTTAAAAGGCTGAAGAGGCAATGCTGGCAATTACAGGCCAGTAAGTCTAACTTCAGTACCAGGCAAATTGATTGAAACTATAGTAAAGAACAAAATTATCACACACAGAGATAAATACAATATGTTGGGAAAGAGTGAACATGGCTTTTATAAATGGAAGTCATGCCTCATTAATCTTTTAGAATTCTTTAAGGTTGTCAACAAACATGAACAAGGGTGATCCAGTCAATATAGGGTACTTGGACTTTCAAAAAGGTTTTGACAAGATCCCTCACCAAAGGCTCTTAAGCAAACTAAGCAGTCGTGATAGAAGGGAAGGTTCTCTCATGGATCAATAACTGGTTAAAAGATAGGAAACAAAGGGTAGGAATAAATGGTCAGTTTTCACAATGAAGAGAGATAAACAGTGGGGTCTCCCAAGGATGTGGATTGGGACCAGTCCAGCTGTTCAGCATATTCATAAAGGATCTGGAAAACTGGGCGAACAGTGCAGTGTCAACATTTGCAGATGATACAGAATTACTCCAGATAGTTTAGCCCAAAGCTAAACTGAGAAGCTGTCTGCGAAGAGTTACTACAGGATCTTACAAGACTGGGTGACTGGGCAACAAAATGGTAGATGGAATTCAGTGTTGATAAATGCAAAGTAATGCACACTGGAAAACATAATCCCTTACTATACATACAAAACAATGGGGCCACTTTCTTGGAGTCATCGTGGATAGTTCTCCAAAAACATCTGCTGATTGTGCAGTGACAGTCAAAAAAGCAAACATAATGTTAAGAGCCATTAGAAAAGGGATACATAATAAGTCAGAAAATATCTTCATGCCACTATATAAATCTGTGGTACACCCACGCCTTGAATACTGTATGCAGATCTGATCACTCCATCTCAAAAAAGATATATTAGAATTGGAAAAGGTACAGAGAAGGGAACAAAAATGATTGGGGTATGGAACAGCTTCCATGTGAGGAGAGATTAAAAAGACTGGGACTGTTCAGCTCAGAAAACAGACAACTAAGAAGGGTTATAATAGAGGTCTATAAACTCACGAATGTTGTGAATAAAGCAAATAAGAAAGTGTTATTTACCCCAAGAACTTGGGGTCACCCAATGAAAATAAGCAGCAGATTTAAAACAAACATAAGGCAATGCTTTTTCACACAACACACAATCAGCTTGTGAAACTTGTTGCCAGGGTATGTTGTGGAGGCCAAAAGTATAACACAGTTCAAAAAAGAATTAGGTAAGGATACGGGGGGGGTGCTGGAACCATTTTTAAACTGGGGATTCTGAGAGCCATTTAACCAAACTGTAAACCCTATGTAGAATGGAAACCACTTCAAGCCAGGCGGTGCAGCAGCACCCCCTGTGCCCTTAATTCCAGCACCTATGGAACTATTGGCTATTAGCTAAGATGGTCAGGGGCACAACCCCATGCTCCAGGTGTCCCTAAACCTCTGACTTCCAGAAGCTGGGGCTGGACAACAAGGGATGGATCACTTGATAATTGTCCTGTTGTGTTCATTTCCCCTGAAGTATCTGGCATTAGGTTGTGTCGGAAGATAGGATACTGAACTAGATAGATCATTGGTCTGACCCAGTATGGTTGTTCTTGTGTTTTTATGATCGAACCAATAATGGCAACATTAATGTAACATGCCTTTTGCTTTTCCAGTTTAGATGATTGCTTAGGATTAGTTTGTATGTAGAATCTTCAGACTAAAACTGCAACTGCAGCTTCAGCTAAATTGCTGCTACATGTCCAGGTGATAAATCCTCCTCCTACACTTGCCATTTTTAACATGTATGCATATTTTTCCAGTAAGAATGGGGATGGTGATAACATTAGCATTTAGGCAAGACACTAAAATGATGTGTGTCACATGCATTCATGGGTATCTCATTATTTTAAAAAACTTTTGTAATGGAATATTTATGTCTTATTTTTTAAAATGTATTTATTTTATAGGATTTTTTTCTTAAATGTAAATCTTCGTGGATCAAGGTAAAACTTTCCTGTGATTTGCTCAGCTTAGAAGGCTGCATTCAACAGACAATTCCCTATCCCAGCTGTCTTCTGAGCAGCCTACTGAAGAAAGATGAACATGCTGAACCACCACTACTTTTTGAACTTCTTGCCTTCCACACTTTTTCCCTACCTTTTCATCTTGTTAGCAGCTTTGACAGCTGCTGAGGATGTGACTAGTAGCATTTTAAATTACACTGACATGAACTTGGGATCTGTACCTGTGATTATCTCCATAGTTGATCATATTACAGTCAAGGAAGGGAAGAGTGCCTTGATTGACTGCAATGTCCAAGGAAATCCTGCTCCACGGTACAAATGGTACAATTCCAATGGTTGTTTGCTGAAGGAAGAAGAGAACAGTGGTAAGGCTTTTATGCTCTGATTAATTTCTTACAATCTAACAAGGATCTTGGCATCCACACTTTGTTTATAATGGACTGTATTATATATATTGTGTGTGTGTGTGTGTGTGTGTGTGTGTAAACACATAATCTTATTGTGTTATGCTTACCTGTGAGGAGGTACGGAAAAATGGCTGTCTCCCGGGGTCATGCCAGCTGTAAATTCATTTGTATACACTCTGTGAGAAAACAATTAAAGATTTTAATATTTTTTGTGGCCACACACAGCAGGAGAGGACAAAAATGCTGAAGAGATAATATAGAAAAAGGCTTCTTTTCATCAGCAAATTTGGGTTTGGACCCCAGTCACTACCCTGTTCCCTTTGCTCTGCTCTGGTGGCAAAGAGAGGATACAAAATTGGCCGAAGAGCTACGTAGGGATTCCCTTTCCATATGGGAATCCCTGTGTGGCATGAAAGTACAGAAACATAGCCACCTCTCTGCCACCTTTGCCTGACCTCACTCCTGCCACAGTGGGAGTATCAGGGGACAGGAGAAGGTATGGCCAGAGCACACATCATTCCAGTGATCCTGGGACAACAGAAAAGCCCTGGGGGACATAGGGAGGGGTGGGTCTTTCCAATCAGTGCAAGTTGCAATAGGACTTCTCATATGCTTAATGATAAGTAAGGCTCTGTGTTTGTCACGGAGGTCACGGATTCCATGATCTCCATGACTTCTGCAGCAGTCCATGCAGATGGCACAGGAGCCTCCTGAGCAGCTCAGACAGCTCCTGGGCCAGTTACACCAGCCACTGCTGGGGCAGTTTCAGGGCCCCCGCCAGCAGCAGGAGTTTGGGTGTGGCGGCGGGGGGGGACTCAGGGCTGGGGTGTGGAATGGTGTTTACCGGGGGGGGGGGCTCCCCAGAAGGGCGACAGGAACTCCCCTCCCTCAGCTCCATGTGCTGCCTCTGCCCACAGGCACCACCCCCGCAGCTCCCATTGGCTGCAGTTCCCAGCCAATGGGAGCACAGAAACGGGGCTTGGGGTGGAGCGGAAGCAGCACATGGAGCTAAGTGCCGGAGGACGCCACTTCCCAGGAGTCAGATAGGGAGTCTGCCCTAGCCCCGCCACCCCTCCAACACTCGTGGCGCCCCCTTGGGCTGCACCCCTCCCTCGCAACCATGCCCCCCTCAGGCCACACACCCCACCCAAGCATCCACGGCGCCCGCCTCCCTGTGTGACCCCCCGAGCCACCCTCGCGTCCCCTAAGTTTTAGTCTGGGGTATATAGTAAAAGTCATGGACAGGTCATGGGCTGTGAATTTTTGTTTACTACCCATTACCTGTCCATGACCTTTACTAAAAATATCCATGACTAAAACATAGCCTTAATGATCAGTACATGCTTAAGTCCTTTGCCAACCTGGAACCTTAGTATTATATAAACTTGTTTTTATAAAATTTAAATCTGGGGAAAAATGTACATGTACATTATTCCTTTAAGCTACAAGTAAGGTTATTGTAGTTTTATGAAGCAGCCATATTGTCCATGTAATAGTTGCATGCTGACCACTTTAAACACAGCATAATGAAATTAGGTTTTGAGTTATTCGCATTAAATGCAGGATGTCTTGTCTTATTAATAGCTGACCTGAGAGAAAACCCTGATATGATGCAATGATTGACCCAGCTGTGTGCACCACAGCATAATGCTTCTGTAACAGCTTTCCGTACTGTGTCTTGTACTAAAATATTTATCCCTACAGGTACAGAAAGGAACTGACTGAGCTTCAAGCATAGCGTGTAGGAGATAAGGCAGCGTATTGTAATTAGTGCTTTGGAGTGCTTTTACTGGAGCTCTCTCAGCAATAGTACTGAACAAAGCAAGGTATAGCACAGGGGTAATATTAAGGCATTACATCACTTCAGCTTAGATTTCCAGCATTACAAGTTGTTTGTCCAGGAGGAAACTTACCATCTCCTCCTATAGTGGATGTTTCCTAGCACAAGCTTTTTCCCTAGTGTGTGTATTACTATATTTAAAATGTAGCGCTGAATTGTTCTCATGCAACAGGAAAAGCTCTACACAACAGTGTGGACAATGATAAAAAACTGAAAAATACTGTATTATGGACAATTTGTGCTTGGAATCCACATGATTTGGCTCAACTGCCATTAGTACTTCCCAAGGTTAAAACAAGTGGTTGCCGAAGGGAGCAAAATGAATGTTCACTGTGGGTGTAACTCAGCCAATGCAGAGAATTCATGCAGGACCCTATGCACCACTTCAGACCCATTTAAGCCTTTAAATATGAGACTTAAGTGGTACATAGGGCCAAGTGTAGGCTCTCTGCACTGTCAGTCTGTGTGCCCAACTGAGAACTTTGAAGGTTGCGTAATTTTCCAGTTTGTCGACGGCAGCAAAAACCTGTGAGCCAACACTAGTACTGTCTCTACACCCAGAATAGTCTTTGTTTCTCAGCAGGTTTGTGCTTTCTGCCAGAATCTTTTGGCACAAAACCATACACTGAGTCACAGTCTAAATGTCATATGTCATTTGTAGCAGCTGCAGCAGGAATACATCAGCAAGCCATTTTGTGATTTTTACAATGAATAAAAGATCCTACCGATTAAGAAGAGGTTTTGCAATACCAATGCATTACACTATATTATAAATGGGGCTGGTCATGCTGCCTATTATAAAGGTTGCCTGACATTTCCTTTTATAAAGACCCTATTTTTAGTTGCTTATAACTTTGCCAAACTATTACCATTTGGGCTGAAATTTTCCAAGCTGGGTGTCTGCCTCAGACTGAAATTTTCTTTAAAAAAAAACAAACAAACAAAAAACAAACAAACAGCAAAACCAGTTTAGCTGTTTCCAAGGATGATGTTAAAGAAAGATGTGTTGTCTTGTCCGTGTTAAATTTGGCCTCATTCTAAGCTATTGGAAAAAACATTGCAGTTCACACATGCTAGGTAGAGACTTGCTAGCACTTCGGAGCTAAATTCCCCCAAAGATTGTGTTCTCATTGGGCATGCTCTAGCTCACAATTGAGCCAGACTTTCCCTACAATTGTAGCTCTGGGTTGCTATGAGTAGGACCAGGACCAGGCATCGGAACTGCAAGTGAGACTGTCTCTCCTAGGCTCTCAGTGATTCTTGTGATGTCCAGGAGAAGGAAGCTGCCTGATTCAAATGTACAGGGGACAAGAGTTGGATAAGGGGATGGAAGAGGAACAGGCTGTAATGGAGGGGTACATGTCACTGCTGTCTTATCATGCATTTGGCAAGTGACACAGGATTTTATGACAGGTTTCAGAGTAGCAGCCATGTTAGTCTGTATCCACAAAAAGAAAAGGAGTACTTGTGGCACCTTAGAGACTAATGAATTTATTTGAGCATAAAGCTTTTGTGAGTATCCGATGAAGTGAGCTGTAGCTCACAAAAGCTTATGCTCAAATAAATTCGTTAGTCTCTAAGGTGCCACAAGTACTCCTTAGGATTTTATGAGTGCTTCAGTTTGAGAGTCCATCCCTGGCCACCAATACAGATCCCGTAGTCATTGTTTGGTTCTGACAATTCCTTGATGAGTATCGTGTGCCAGGTCTATGAGTTTTGACTGTAATTCTTCTGGCACAAATAGCCGGTGTGTACCTCGTAGCACACAGCCATCAAGCAAAGAAAGTTCATCCCGAACGCTAAAATAAGGCAGCAAAACTGGGTCAAGGTTTTTAGGGTTACTGGGCCATCTCTTTGGCAGAAATTTCCATAGTTTTTGTTGAATTGGACACACTGAACAAGCAGCTTGAAATTGTTCTCTTGTAACGGCAGTAAGAGTGCTTGTAATAAGCGCAACTACTACATCCTCATCCTCCGGTGGACCATCTGGTGAAGGCAAAGGCAGACAAGAAAAGCAATCTGCTACAACATATTGGTTTCCAGGTTTATATTCCAGTTAATAATTGAAAGAGAATAGTCTTGCAGATCATCTAGCAATACGATATCCTGCTCTTCCCAGTCCTTTTGTGATGAGCAACGTCATCAAAGGGCTGTGGTCTGTGCACAACGTGAACGTGCGGCCCCACAGGTAAGTTTTCCATTTTTCAGTATCCCAGACACAAGCAAGTGCTTCTTTTTCGACTGTAGAATATTTCCTCTCAGCATTACTTAGTGTCCTTGAAGCAAATGCAACAGTCCTCTCGGTGATGTCCTCATGAAGTTGTGTGAGAACAACCCCAAGTCCATAATCAGAAGCATCAGTAGTTACAATTGTGGGCAATGCAGGACTGAATAGTGCAAGTACTGGGCTATGTACAATCAAGTCTTTCACCGTTTCGAAACTAGCTTGTGCATCCGTTGTCCACACTAAGGTTGAACTTCTCCATAGTAATTCTCGTAACAGTTCAATGACAGAAGCATAATTGGGAATGAATTTTGCATATCAGGAGATAAGACCCAAGAAGGAACGTAAGGTTTGCAAATCTTTTTGAGGAAGAGCATTTGAAATTGCCAGGATATGATCTGAATCAGGTTTTGGTCCAGCCTGTGAAATTGTATGCCCCAGAAAGGAGAGTTCAGTTTGTCTAAATTTGCATTTGGACCTATTGAGCTTGAGGCCTGCTTTGCTGATGAGGTTTAGTACAGACTGCAGGTTATTGTCATGCTCTTCAGAAGTATTTCCAAACAGGATAATATCATCCAGATAGCACTGAACTCCATGTTCTTCAGAATCAATTACATCATTTTTTGGAAGGCACCTGGGGCAGATACAAGACCATATGGAACACATTTAAAACGAAATAGTCCCTCATGTGTTATAAATGCTGTGAGGTCTCTGCAGTCTTCATGCAACATAACCTGGTAGTATGCACTCTGCAGATCAAGAGTAGAAAACATCTTTACTCCACGGAGTTCTGCAAATACTTCTTCTATGTGAGGAAGAGGATGGCTGTCAATCACAATAGCTTTATTTGGCTCCCTTAAGTCCACACAAAGGTGAATGCCTCCACCCTTCTTC